CAGGGTGAAAGGTGATTGGTTTAGAAATCCTCTAGATTTCCAAATGATAGAAGGGGATCTTAATTGCTAATGATTTTGAAATTTATTAGTGTTTTAAAATGTATATTAAGATTCTAAGGTACTAGGTTGCTGCAGCGAATCTGGAGAACATTATTCAATCTCTAAAACGCTCAACCGTTATAGTCTGTCAAACTCCTTGCTCAAGGTTGGTTGTGCACCGGCCCGAACATAAATAACATAGGCGCGCGTTCCAGGTTTATTTGTGGTATGGCTTATGTACGGTACTAACCTTTAATTGAGGCGTTTGACCTAAAGGGTTGAGTTGGTAGTTTTAGTTGAAGGGATGTTTAGAATTTTTATTAAGTGTTCTCATCGCGGGTCAGAGTATATATATATATATATATATATATATATATATATATATATATAAACTCTTATATATTAAGGTTGGTGGGGTTTGTAGTATTATTAATCATTGTTTTGTTCTTCCCAACTATCGTACCGTAAGTAGTCGAGAAGTAGTTTTATTATTAATAATACTTTTATTAGAAGCTAGTTGCTATAGTTGTATTCCTCTTTCGAGGATACGAGTTCTCTATAGCCAATTTAGCTCTGATACCAATCTGTCACACCCCCCGGCCGAGGCGGCGGAACATGCCGGGCTGTGCGACTAAGTTCATGGATCACAGATAAATTGAATATACAGCACAAGTACAATAATAAACAAAACAACATTTCATTACATATTTATGTTTTCATACAAGGTTCTTACAGATAGTAATAAAATAATAATACGAGTTTGCCTTAACAGTTAGGCATAACAGTTCAAAAGTAGAAAATTAAAGTACTTGCGAGCCATGTTTTCCATCGTCTGAGTGTGCCCGAAATTTCACTGATTTCCTGAGAATACATGTATTTTGAAAGTCAACACGAGGTTTGTGAGAGTCACAGGTTTTTTGCTAGCCGCAGTAATAATACTTTCAAAAGTCCAAAAGTATTTTTCTTGTATAACAATAGTTGAAACAATGCTTGTCATGAGTCTTTAAAAGCCAAAAAAATATTTTTATAAATAAATCCATGCTTTTAAAGAAAACGTGTTTGTAATAACTTCATGAAAGTTTAAATACATCCATTGTATAAGTAACCACTATACTTAAAAATAGTTCTGAAAGCAACCAAACCTATGGTTGTAGTGAAAAAGTGAGAGAGATTCGTGTTAATGTTTTTAGTGAGTTCTATAATCGAGCTATGGACGAAAAGTACCCCTCCCTACGACGCTTCATTGGACGTCGTAGTAACGATCGTAGACACATATCACCTGCTACGATTGATTAGTCGATGGTTGTAGCTAGCAACCGCAGGTGGGGTTGTCGACCCCATATAGATCTATACATATGTACCTCGCTCCGAAGATTAACGATTATAGCAGTGTGGGGCAGGCTAAGTGATTAAACTCAGCTGATGAATAGTAGCGTCTCACTCAAAAATCATTAACGAAAAGTTTGTGAATAACTCTCAGCCCTAACTTAATTATAGTTAAGTACTGGGCATAATGAATTTCGTAGTATAACATTTGTAAAAGCCGAGTATGATTGACATATTTATAAAAGTATAAATTACTCGCTTTTATAGAGATATGTATTTCAACATAACGATCTTGTATAAGTGTGTAAAGCCTTTTGTATAAAAGTATTCATGGGCGTAGTCTTTGAAACTATGAAATACTTTTATATTTGTATATATATGTAAAGCCTTATGCATGAAAGTATTCACATATGGAAGTCTTTATAACTATAAACGTGTAGCATACATATCATATAAAACTTATGTATTTGTATAATAAATACTATTTAGCACATGTATTCTCCTCCAAAAATGAATAAATATAAAAGAGGGGCCGTAACTCTCACCTTATCGAGTGGTTAACGAGTAGTTCTGAAGACCATAATGTATTGCCGAGAGGTCGTGATCTCCGGGATTAGTTCGATTTCCTAGAAATTTCGATATATATATATATATATATATATTAATATTTGGATGTGATTAGGTATTATAACAATTTCTTGAATAATTTCCTAAATTTTGCCAATTTAAAATTTATTGAAATAATTATTTTAAATAAATTTTAAAATTTAATTTATTATTTTTCCGCAAGTATTTAAATAACCCAAAATTAATTTAAACTTGAAATCAAATTTAAAATTTCTAAAATATACGTATAAACATTATTAATTTAATTTTGTATTTAAAGTTGGATTTGTTTTGAAAAGATTTGTCCAGTTTAGGGTAGGTTTTAAACATTTTAATAAAACTTTCATGATTTAGAACTTGATTTGAAATAATTCTAGATAGGGAGGGACTAATAATGGACAATTGCAAAGTTGAGGGATCATATCTATTTAAATGGAATGCATGTTTGTACAGTGCCGATCATTTACACAGGAGGTGTTAACCTCCTGTGTTCATTCGATATCCATGCATAAACAAAACAAATAAAAAGAATTACGCATGATCTTATGGTTATTCGGCTGTTTATTATGATCGACGATGGGAAGGAAATAAATATACAAGGTGGTGACGGTAGGGACTTACAGTGGCAGCAACACAGCAGTGGCAAAAAGAGAAGGTGGGTTGCTCGTCGGTGGTGGCAGGAGGGTCCCCCGACAGCCTCCTGCTGCCTTCTGTTGCGTCTTCTGCCGGAGAAAGAAAGAGGGGAGGGTGGAGAGACTCTTGGGGGTTGAAATTAAGAGCAAACCATGCTTGAAGGAGGTGTTTGATAGTAGTGACAGTGGGTGGTGGTGTAAGGAAAGAGGAAGAGAGGGAGTGATAGAGAGAAGAAGAAACTGATGAGTTTGTGAGGATTCAGTGAAGTAATGGCCTCTATTTATAGAATAAGTCCACACACACATGCTTACTAATGGCCATACCTCCAACCCATTTATGTACCTTTGGTGATACTTGCACACCAAGATGAAGAGTGAGGGAGAGGAGAAGCACGTGGGATATCACCAGCTGGAAGGAGATCAAATTTTTGGAGTCCATCACCCCATGTGGGCCCCACATGGGGTTATACCTCCATTTCATGTCCAAAACATGCAAAAACCGGGTGCCTCGGGATTCGTGCATCGAAGATTTTTTTTCGAAGGCACCGTTAGATAGAGTATAATTCAAGGATTCCAGAACCTCAAACGGATTAATTTTTGGAGTTACGGATCTCCGTAAAATAGCGTTTGAAGTTTCGCGTCTTAACGGCTCGCGGTGTTAGTTTTCGTGACTTTTGTAAATATTTTTGTAAAAATTATTTCGAGTGTGAAATTAAATAATATAGTATTTCCTGAGTCCAAAAACGCTCTCGGAAACCCCGTCGGCAAAGCATAAGTGCGTCAACGGTTAGATTCGGTTTTACGCGATTAAAGAAAAATAGTGTTTTAATGTCTATTTTCTTAAAACGGTCGTATCTTTTGCATACGAACTCCGTTTTTGACGATCTTTATATTTTCGGAAACAGGGGAACATGTACCATCATATTTTAATGTTTGTTTTGCTAAAAAATGATTAATGCTAAATTTCAGTTTTCAGACACATTAATCAGCGCTGCAGTTGAGCGGTTTGATTTGGTTACCAGTTTACACATTTGGGCATAAAAATATCCTCAGATATTATATAATAATTGTACTGAACTCATTTATATTTCATTTGATGCACTCAAACTGACCGAGTTAAATATAAAATATATTTGTCGTAATTTAGTCTTTTGAAATCTATGCCCTAAATTCTGGGATGTCACATTACCTCCCCGTTAAGGAAATTTCGTCCCGAAATTATTACATTCGTGGCTACTTTATACTACTAGTTAGTTGTTTCACTAGTGGAGGGGGCATCGTTGAATAAGTGTGGATACTTTTGTTTCATTTGGTCCTCGCGTTCCCAAGTAAACTCTGGCCCTCTATGAGAGCTCCATCTGACTTTTACTATAGGTATGCGGTTTTGTTTGAGTCTTCTAATTTCCCGATCCATAATCTCCACTGGTTCCTCCATGAAGTGAAGCTTTGTGTTGACCTGAATTTCATCGAGTGGTACGACCAGGTTTTCATCGGCTAGACACTTTTTTTATTATATCATATTGATAAAGAAGTATTATTAACTAAAAGACTTCATAATTTTCAAGGACAATGTTGTAATTTTTAATATTTTCATAACTTGTGTTGTAGTCTTACCAAACGCTATAGAATCAATCAATTTAGTTATGTTCTGTTCTGTCCTGTCCAATCCAGTCCAGTTGAGTCCGGTTCCATCACATTCAGTTCCACTACCAAACGCTACCTTAAGGACCTTCTCGTTGCCCAAAAATCGAGAACCCAAATGAGCAAAAAGAAATTCAAATAAAGCAAAGCAAGAAACTTTTTCGGTGGATGTAGAAGATGAACAAAAAAGTTGAAAACCTTAAAAAAAAACGGGAAATCAACAGGTCAATTGTGAAAATCGGCGCTGTAGTTGGCGGGTTGCAAGATTTCTTTGTGTGCCCTCTCTATGTTTCTTACAATTTAAGGTAGATGGTGTGTCACTGACTCCAAATAGAAAGAAAATTTGAGGGTTTTTTTTTTTTTTTTTTAAAGCTATGGAGCTAGCGGTGGATCGTGTGTTGATTGGAAGCAGTGGAGGCCGGCCACAGATCAGGAACTAATGTTGTCAATTCCTACAAACTATTATGGCTAACGTCAGAAATGCACAAAATAAACTGTTCGTCACTCACTTTTAATATTATATATAATAATAAATCAATAAGTTATTAATAGCCTAAAGACCCTAAACAAACTTTTGTTTTTGTTTTATACTCCTACATTTTTCTTTAACAAAAGGGGTGGGCTAAATGGACACCCTATTTTACCATTTAGACACCCTATATAATTTTTAAGGTATTTTTGTTGGTTAAAATTACGTTGTTTTTTTAATAAGCTGATTAAAATAGTTATCTATGCGTATTAACAGCAGCACCCTTAACAAAATCATGTAACCGAACACCGCCATTCTTCCCGGAATTAAAAAGAAAAAGGTTACACGTAGCTCCCCCTCGAGGTGCTGACTGATATTTCCCCCTCATTTTACACACCAAAAACCAAAGTACCAAACACCAAATCCATATCCGTTATTAGGGTTCAAGATCATGCTTTTGCTAGTTACACATTTGTCAATGGAAACTTCTTCTAAGGTATGTAATCTCAACATACTGTCACACGAACTATTACACATGAATCGGTTTACGAAAAATATATGTTTTTTCTTTTTAATTATGTGCAGAAGGTTGGGGTTTTGGTGCCTCTGAATGCTAATCTAGAGGAAGACACTTCGAATTCAATCCCTAGAGTTGAGATTAGTAAAGGCATTAACTTATTAGGTCGCGATGTTATACCTATCACTGACAAGAGACTAAGCCGTAAACATGTATCCGTTATCGTCTCTGCTGATGACTCTGCGGAAGTTCTTGTGGTATAAGCTTTTTTTGTCTTTCTCACACACTTATGTTCACCTCCATTTAAGAATGTGTTTGGATTTCGGAAAAAAATCTTCTCAATATGTGCAAATTTACCCAAACAGATAATGGGATCGATCCTAGTAAATAATTTTTTCATAATGCGACTTCCAGTGATGACGATCAACAGGAATATATCATATACCTTCTTCCATTCAAAGAGAAAGTATGAAACTTGTTAGAAACTGAGTTTGATGGAAATAGAACAAAGTTTTCACAGGATGATACAATATGCACTTTCAGCTATGAAAGGTTTTGTATTTGACATATATAAACTGAAACAAGACTATTTTTATCTTTCAGACCATAGAATTCGGATATAGCAATGTTAAATGACCAAAATACCCCTCTGTTTGATCCCTTTAACACTTTAACCTTGTCAAAAATGCAACGTCTGTTTGACATAAGGTATGTGCTTGTAGGAAGGAACAACCCAGTTGTCATTAGATCACAGGATCAAAGGAGGAAGAAGCTCTTATCTGGACAAAAGCTAACAATCAGAGATGGTGATATAATAGAACTAATCCCTGGGCACTACCTATTCAAATATAAAGCTCTTGATGATGTAAGAAAAAAGTCTTCCCCAAACAAACAGAAAAGACCTTTAACTGAAGGAGTTCAAGATGAGCCACTTACACAAAAGAGATCGAGACAAGTTTCTGAAGATGAGGCTCTTGCTAGAAGATTACAGGTACTTTTCTTATAGTACTGCAGCTTCACTTGTTTAAGTTGTTTTTTTCTTTTCGACTTAATGGGGACAAAACTTAATCTGGACAAATAAACAGTGGTGTTTCTTTTTGATTTGTTATGGCTCATACAATGGTATTTCTAATAGGGAAATTCCTTTTTATTTTTATGGTTGATTGAATCTATATGAATTATGTTTATGTATTACTCTTTTACATACAGACTGAGCTGAATGAAGATACCCAAAATACCAAGAACTCTGCTGAGGCAATCCGCAATTTCAAGCCCTCAGAAGATAAAATACCACAAACTTTTCGACTTATGAAAGTCAAAGGTCTGCAACCATGGGCTAATACCAGTTCTGTATCAATTGCAGATGTAATTCAGGTATTCTTTTTCAAATATATCAAAATTTGTTCATTCCCAAAAAAATATATATTGAAAATTGTCAGCTTAAGATGAGTCACTTTTGTATTTTTGTTAGGGGAATGTGCTCATTGCTGTTCTTTCAAACTACATGGTTGACATTGATTGGTTGATGTCAGGTAAGAAAACATCCACCCAAGTGTGGCCTTTGGTGGCATTGCTACATATTATCATCTTTAGGACCATTTTGTTCATGTTGAGCTTTCGATGATGAGGATGAGGGCATTTCCGTCTTTTTCACACACAAGAATTATCCCACCTTTCTGGATGGGACAAAAAGTTGCAAATTTTTTCTCATTAACATCAGTCACTATCCCAGTCCAATGCACACCAAACAGGATCCAAATGTTTTGTTCTTTCTTCTGTACTTTTTTAGCATTTCTCTATTTTTAGATGATTTATGATTTCTAACATTTTTTTTTTTTTTGGTTTATAGCATGTCCAAATTTAAAGAATATTCCTCATGTTTTGGTGGTTCATGGAGAAAGTGATGGTAGGCAGGCGAATATGAAGGTGTGCAATTGGTTTAATTTGTCACACATGCATTCAAAGCTTCTTGTTGGCATAAAAATTTTTACTTTTTTTTTTTTTGGCAGAAACAGAAACTTGGAAATTGGATTTTCCATAAACCTTCTTTACCAATAGCATGGGGGACACACCATTCGAAAGCCATGTTTCTGGTGTATCCTGAAGGAGTAAGAATTATTGTTCATACAGCAAACTTAATCTATGTTGATTGGAATAACAAAAGCCAGGGTCTGTGGATGCAAGATTTCCCATGGAAGAATCAAGATTGTTTGAATAAAGGAAGTGGTTTTGAAACTGATCTCATTGACTACCTTAGTTCATTGAAGGTACTATGTCTATACTCTATACTACTACTGCATATGGAGTTCATCTGTATCAAGGATTATATGTGCATTATTTATGCAACAAACTTGTTTTTTATTTTAGGATCAGAAGATGCAATATTTTACTGGTGTGTGTGTATCTATCTGGTTGAAATGTTGTTGCATAATAATAAGCATTTAACTGGTGCCATGTCATGTCATGTGGTGACTTGTTCTTGGTTACAATGCTTCATATTAATTGATATTTTGTTTGAAAAAACACTTGGTTATATAAACTGGGAAAAATGTGCATTCAACCGTTGTATTAATGTTAAATTTCATCTGATTTTCCAGATTGTGTTGGTTTTCTTCCAAAGAAATTTTAATCTTCTATCATTGCTTCTTCATATTTTCTCAATTTTTGCATATATATGACCTCTAAAAATAAAGTTAAAAAGAACCCACTGGAGTATCAGCTTTCTTTTCACCATATTGTATGTTCATGTGTACTTGTAGATGGAAAAAAACAAGGGCAAAATACCGATACACACTTGTACTTTCATCATTATATCCATTTAATCACTTCACTATTCTTTGTAGTGATTAAACTGCTATACCACCATTTTTATCAATTTAGCTACTAAACTATTATTTTCTTATGACTATTATAAGAGTAAATTACACGAATGGTCCCTATGGTTTAGGATAATTTGCGCGTTTGGTCCCTAATTTATTTTTTTAACTCGGAAGGTCCCTACTGTTTGTTTTTGTTATGAGCTTGATCCCTGTCTTCACTAAAAAGACTATTTTACCCTTGATTTTTTAATTTATTTAAATAAACACATCCCCAACCTCACCCTCCTCACCTTACCTTACCTATCCCACCATTTTTTTCTATTTAAATAATAGTCTTTTTAGGTAAGACAGGGACCAAAAGTATAACAAAAACAAACAGCAGGGACCAAGCGCGTAACATAAACAAACAGTAGAGACCTTTCGAGTTAAAAAATTAAGTTAGGGACCAAGTATGCAAATTAACCCAAACCATAGGGCCCATTCGTGTAATTTACTCCTATTATAATAACAGTTTGGTGGCTAAATTGATGAAGTGGTGAAAAAGTTTATGCTTTTCTGTATTTTGCCTTGATATCAAAACGGAGTAACCAAGAAAATTGTTTTTTTTAACAGCCAAAAAAGTATAATTGTTTAGTCACTATAGAAAATAGTCAAGTGACCAAATTTATAAAATGGTGAAAATATTTTTGCTTTTGCATTTGACCTAAAACCGATACGATATCCAGAAATTTGATTGAAGATGACCACAAATTAATAAGCAATATTAGGGTATTAAAATTGTGTTAATTAACATTATGTGATATCAGTTCCTTTAATTAGTGGTTATCTATTTGAATAATTGCAGTGGCCTGAGTTTTCTGTGAAGCTTCCAGAACTGGGCAGCATCAGCTTCAACTCATCTTTCTTTAAAAGATTTGATTACAGCAGTGCAACGGTAACTCTCTTATCTGTGCAAAAGACGTGAATGCCCTTCTCACCCTCATTATCCAAAATACCCCTAGAATGTAACAAACAGAGCCTTAAGTCAGTGTTTGTTACACGGGACAAGAATGGATAAGCTTTCTAGGGCAATTTTCATGGGGAGGGCATTAACGTCTTTTGGCTAATAAAAAAAAACCCCTTTCAATTGTAGAATATGCAGTCTCCATTTTTCTACTTAAAATTGTTTTTCTGAAATTTCAGGTGAGATTAATAGGTTCTGTGCCTGGATATCATACAGGTTCAAACATTAAGAAATGGGGACACATGAAGCTAAGATCCATTCTACAGGATTGTGTTTTTGATAAAGAATTCCAAAACTCTCCCCTTATTTATCAGGTAGATAATTTTACAATGAAAGTATGAATTTTATTTTATGGTTTGTTATAAATATAAATAATACACGGATATGTTTGCTTTGTAACAGTTCTCATCCTTGGGTTCTTTAGATGAGAAGTGGATGTCTGAATTTGCATTCTCAATGTCATCAGGAGTTTCAGATGATAAGAAGCCTCTTGGCCTTGGGGAGCCTTTAATTGTATGGCCCACTGTTGAAGATATCAGATGCTCTCTAGAGGTAAATATATAAATTTTATTATTTTTTTATTATTATAAAGGAAGAATGTTGAGTTTCTTTTATTTAACATTTGTACTTAACAGGGTTATGCTGCAGGGAGCTGTGTTCCAAGCCCTCAAAAGAATGTAGAGAAACCATTTTTGAAGAAATATTGGGCAAAATGGAAAGCCACCCACACTGGTCGCTGGTATTAAATATATATATATTTTTTCTTAAATATTACTTGTTTTAGATATACTGATATATTTACATTCTTTTTTCCAGTCGTGCAATACCTCATATAAAGACATTTACTCGTTATAATGGTCAAAACCTTGCGTATGTAAATTCTTCTCTTGTCTTGTCTTTCTATACTTTGCTTGTTGACTATTTGACCATATATATATATATATATATATATATATATATATTTTTGAATCCACTTAATTACAGATGGTTTTTGCTGACTTCAGCAAACCTCAGTAAAGCTGCCTGGGGGGCTCTTCAGAAAAACAATACACAGCTCATGATTCGTTCATATGAGGTTAAGTTATTTTTTAGCTTCAAGTTTTGAATAATTAGCATATATATATATATATATATATATATATATATATATATATATATATATATATCAGTCAAGCCACAGAAAAGCACAAAGTACTTTCTTTCCATCAACTTATTGAATTAGCCGTTGGTCTATTTTCTTTTTCTTTTTTATGGAATTTGCCAATCATAAAAACACAATAGTGAATAGTTTGATAAAATGGTGAAAGTACCTCGTGTTTTTCTGTATTTTGTCCTCAACTGGGAAAATTGTATTTTTAAATAGTCAAAAGAGTATGATGGTTTAGAAATAATTAAGTGGCTAATCTATAAAACAGAGAAAGTGTGTTTTTCTGAAATTTTCCTTTGAAGCTTTAATAGTGTAGTATAACTTTTGTGTGTGAAAAGTATATTCATTTTGTTCCTATTTTTTCCTACATGATGAATAAGCAATAACCTTGTCTGTGACAATGACAACGTGTAGATGTGGGTAATTTTGATGTAAAGTCCTCATAAAATGATTGCAAATTTTCTTCTACCGGAAATGGGTAGATTGGTAATTTCACAATTTCACTACCATATATCTTGAGTTGACTTTACCCTTTTGCAGCTTGGTGTGCTGTTTTTACCATCTTCAACCATACATGCTCATGCGTTTTCTTGTACAGAAAACCGGACCCCATCAGAGGTAAAAATGCTTGTTTTCCACCGGACTGACCTGGACAAACTTTCAAGGGCTGAGGATTAGGAGGGCATTTATGTCTTTTCATATTTTCTAGGGCTATCGAGGGCATTCACGTCTTTTGCACACTTTCTAGTTCTACTTTTTCGATTGTGAGGACTGAGGATGAGTAGGGCATTTACATACTTTTTAGGACTATTCTTGATGATGAGGGCATTCACGTCTTTTGCACATTCTAGGGCTATTGAGGCCATTCATGTCATTTTCAGACTCTAGGTTTATTTATCTGACTGTGTGAATGAGGAGGACGTTTACGTACCTTCTAGGCTTATTTTCCAAGATATGGGCATTTGTGTCTATTTCACATTTTCTAGGTCTATTGAGGGTATTCATGTCTTTTTGCACACTTTCTAGGTCTATTTTTTTGATTGTGAGGATGAGGAGCGCATTTACATACTTTCTGGGCTTATTTTCCAAGATGAGGGCATTTGTGTCCTTTTCACATTTTCTAGGTCTATTGAGGGCATTCACGTCTTTTTGCACACTTTCTAGGTCTATTTTTTTTCGATTGTTTGGATGAGGAGGGCATTTACATACTTTGTAGGGCTAAAGGGCATTCACCTCTTTCCCCCACTTTCTAGGGTAATAATATATTCTAAGATGAGGGCATTTGTGTCTTTTTCCACAGAATATTCACACATCATCTTCAAAAACACATGAAGAAAAAAGAACAAAGCTAGTGACATTGTCTTCATTACATACCAAGAAAATGTCGGATGTCATCACCTTACCGGTGCCTTATGAACTCCCTCCTCAACTTTACTCTTCAGAAGGTCATCTTTATTCTTTTTTCACTACCCATAATATTAATAGCAACCTACTTATACTCTTTACATTTCTTTACCCATAATAGCAATGTACTTTATTTTTTACATTTCTACACAAATATAGTAATGTACTTTATTTGTTGCATATTGTTATCATTGATAAATAAAATGTAAGTACATTGTTATTATGGGTAAACTTATAAAGTACATTGTGTATTTTGGTTAAAAAGTAAAGTAGGAGGTCATCTTAATTCATTATGTAGTTTTTGTCAAGTTGTACAATTTGTGTTTGTTGTATACTATGTGCAGATGTTCCTTGGTCTTGGGATCGACAATATAAGAAGAGGGATGTTTTTGGTCAAGTTTGGCCTTGAAAAGCTTTGTTGAATTTTAATTTGAAATTTGTAAGTATGTCAACGTTTATTTTCTTCATTTGAGAACATGAAAATATTGGGTTTTTTTTTTTTTTTTTTTTTTTTTTTTTGAAACTTGAAAAAATGTTGATTTCTACCGTTTTAAAGTAGATTTGATTTGGTTAATATAGTTATATTTTTGTTTTCTACTGATAATAGGGTAGAATAATAATAGTAAAAAAATTAATTAAAAAAACCGGTTAAAAACTGTATAAATTGTTTAAATCGGTTATTTGACTTGAGTATATAATGTGCGGTTTGTGCATAAACATTCCTTAAGGCTATTCGGTCCACACAAAAACAGTTGACCAAGGTTTGACTTTGGGTTTAAGACCCAATTAAGCTCATTTAGCTCTCAAAACTCTCAAACTTAATGGGTGTTTTTGATGCATGAGTGCTCAAATCAAAATGAAATCAAAGAGGATTAACAATATTTAGCATCATATACATTGAATTCAAGGTATTCACTCTTCATCTTTCAATCCAATTACTTACAATAGAGATTTGAAGTATGATTATGAAATATGACTTTTGATTTTGGGTTTACATGTTGTAGTTAAGCTTAGATAATGGAAGTTCGACTAAGGATAACATGTTATTGTGCTGAATTAACATGTTTTGCAAAAGTTTTCATATAAATGAGATCAAGAACCCTAATTTGGAAAATGTCTACATGTGAGAACTAAGGATAACAATGATATGAGCTATCTTAACATTTTATCTACCATTATTAACAAGTTGGAGCTATCAGCCATATGTGTTTTATAAATTAGGTTGAAAACCATCAAAGCTTATATAAATGACATTATGAAATAATACATATGGAACAATAACAAGATTATTGGTGGAACTATATTATAATAGACATTACCATTGGAGTGATAGTTCAAATAACGGGGCTTGAAACTCTTTGAAACTGTGTTTCATTTTGATAAATAAAGTCAAATTGGATTATTAAAATTAGATTAAGACCATGTCACTAACAAGATCTTTATAATGCGTGGAAACTCAATGATATCAAGTATTGTAAATTAGAAAAGATGTAATGACATCTCTATATGTATGTTATGATGAAAATAGAAGGGAAGAGGGTTGAAAAGCATTGATTTATCGATAAATTACCATGCTTAATATTATAACAAGCATATGAATTGCTAAACAAGGTTGTTATAACAAATGAATATGATTGGAGAAGAGTTTGGAGCAAGAACAAGGACAAGGACAAAATCAAAGTGTTCTAGTTGGTTAATACTAACTACCAAAGTTGAGTACATATGAATAGTTACTTGGATAAATCTCACAAGTGCTTAATTATGAACATATGCTTTTATTATGAAATAAAATGTTTATGATTGAGGAATTCTATGAATAATTGTTATGTATTGCTATGTTACTTTGTGTTTTGTATAATAAGAATACCATGATTCATGACACATCACTTTGTATGTGAGGAATGTTTGCATTTTCAAAGTGTGTTTGTAGTATGTTCATCATACATACAAATGTAATTACATTGGTTTGGTAGTATGTCTCTAAACTCATCTCAATAAGGGATGGTGGATTGGTGGCACCAATAAGAATTATGGAAATAAGCTCATTAGGATTGATATGTTCATCGTAAGTGGCAAGGAGTTGGTGATTACATCACCAAGGACGTGGACAGCTTAAAATTTACTTACTTAGAAATCATGCATTGCATTACATATCATTGAGTGTTGTAACATGAGAGTATGCTTATCTAATTATGTTTTTATACTAAAAGATAACAAAGGACTTTGGTATGCAATTGATTATGATTAAATACTTTTTTTTTTCTAAAACCCATGTATCTTACAAAACAAAAATCTTACAAATTCTCTTTTATTTTAAATGGCACGTACCCGTAATTAGTACTGACATAGACTACTAACATGTATTTTGTAAATACTTGAAGATGTATATTTTAGGACTTAGAGGTAGAGCATCATAGTAGTTATTTTGTATCGTAAATGTATGTAATTTACTTTTGAATGCTATCGATGGTTTCGTATATTAGTTTGTAACCCTTGTGAAACGTGTTATCATGTTTTGGAAAAAATTTATAATTAGGACTAAATTTCGCAATATGAAACGTTTTGAAAAAACAAACATAAACAAATATTATTTTGAAAAATAATATAAAATTTGTGGTGTTACAAGTCGGTATTAAAGTCATAATTTAAGCAAAAGTAAGTTTAAACTTTCCACAATAGACATAAACTCTGAGGAGTAAGAAAGTAGAGTAACTTACTACAACTATTAATGACAACATTATCTCCTATATGCTTATTAAAATTTATAGATTTGCATTGTTAGGAATTATCATGCTATATAATTTGGGTACACACTTTTATTTGATAATTTGGATATAAAATGTACTAAATTTGGAAATATTATGGAATGTTATTACAATAAGAAATGACTTCATGTCGTAATGAGATGAACAAATTTTGAATAGAAAATCTTATCAAGGAAGACGCTCACCCTGTATTGATCTTGAAGACAACTCGAGGACTAATGAAAGTTCTAAATTGGCCATTTTAAAGCTATCCAAAAGATTCTTAGTGATGCGTAAAGGAAGAACAACAAAGAGATATATAATATAATCAAAGAACTCTTCTTAAGGATGTTTACAAGATAAAAGAAGAATAAATTATTATAACCAATAAGGAATAAAATGTGGAACGATACAGATGACATAGACGTTTTCAAAAGAGTTGTAGAATATTTTATTTCCCTATAGATTTTTTTATTATTATTTATTATTGTTATTTTATTAAAGCATTAAGCCAAATTCATAAGAAAGATACTGTCAAGAGCAAGACAATGTAAGTTTGGATGCGAGAAGAGAATACTTATCATAATAAATTAAGGAAATTATCATTTTATTAAATATCGATAAGAAAACAAGGTGTGTTTGATATATGGAAATTTCAAATGGGAATGACAATCAACAAGATATGAAGTACAAGAGTAAAACATATAGATCTATGATTTTAGACTAGTATGATATGTTGAGCATTAACTAAAAACCGTTTCACACATAGAAAGTTTTAAAAATTTAAGTCATAAGAAAGTCAAAATTATATTAGAGATAAGATAAAGTGTAATGATAATTGAGGTTGAATGATCAACATATAAACATCAAAGAATATGGAAAAGAAAAATAAAAAAAGTTATGTGAAAACTCAAATATCTATAAAGAATGAAAGGTAACTTCTAAAATGAAAACAAAATAAGCTTAAAATTGGAATCATAAGGAGCAAGTGAGAATTTGGAAAGAATAGATCATAGAAGATTAAAATAAATACATATATAGTACCTTGATAAAGGAAATGCAAAGTATAAAAGAGAATTATACAAATAGGTAGTTGAAAGTTAATTGAAGAACAAATACAGATGGGTGGTTGAAAGTAAATTAAAGGACATGTAAAAATGTAATTCTTGTTTATGGATTTTAATATGATTTCGATGAAATAATTTTAAAAGGGATATATATTTCATAACGTCTCCATATTTTAATTTCATCTTTCATGATATACGTATGGTAGTTTTCCTTTGAAGATAGACTAACCCAAAAGACATTCTCTTAATTTTAATGAATCTCTTAAATAACCTAAAATATCTCATAATATTAAATTTAAATCTTTAACATAATTAACTCGTTATCATCATTTTATGAAATAAAATTCGAATTCGCCTTCCTATATCTAGAATCTTCCCAAACCAAGAACCCAACGGCACCTCATATAAAATATCATAAAGGCGGTCCACTCTTTCCGCAAGCTTCCGAACCTTGGCCTTGGCGTGCGGCAACAGATAGCGTCTACATCGATACACGTGTCACATTCTCATTGGATCTCTCCCACCGCCTTCCGTTTTATTCTCGTTGAATACTCTCCTTCATTGCCCTATAAATCAACCCCCAAATCCATCCCCTATTCCTCACAATTGCAATTCGAATCAATCTTTTCTCGACAGACTTCTTCAATTCTCTCAAGGTTAGTTCTTTGATTCTTCTTTTGTTGGTTTAATTGTTCTAATTGATTCGAGATTTTGATGTTTTTATCTCCCCTTTGTTGCTTTATGTGTTCGAATTGGTTTGTGATATTGATTTCACCTTTAATTCCGATCATAGGTTTTGTTTTATATCTCCTTTTGATTCTATAATCAACAAATCGCTTAGATCTGTTATATCCATATGGAGTTATAGTACCAGTTTGTTTACAATCAATTGTAATCTGTTTTGTTCTTGTGGTCGATCGGTGCTCATCTCTTGTTGCTTTTAGAATCACCAGATCTTGATGTTCATATGATTTTTTCGGAACCAGGGTGTTTATGATTTATAGAAAAGCTTCTTATGTTTCAATTGGTAAATCAGCAGATCTACTAGATCTACAAAACACTTTTTAGAAGCGATCATATTCAAATTCAATTTTGGTTTATCGATTTTTCAAATTTTCTTACTTCATTCCAATTTAAGTCTGCTTCGACGATCGCATCATCAGTTCCTTAGTTATATTAACTAATTCATGATCGCAAACATAGGATTTGTGTAAACTGGTTATAGAATTGATAAGTATATACATGAATAATACTTGCAGATGGGATTTTTTGTGATTTTGTTCTTATGATGTTGTTTATATATACAGATGCAGATCTTCGTAAAGACTCTCACCGGAAAGACAATCACTCTCGAAGTCGAGAGCTCAGATACCATTGACAACGTAAAGGCGAAAATCCAAGACAAGGAAGGGATTCCCCCAGACCAACAAAGGCTTATCTTCGCCGGAAAGCAGCTAGAAGACGGCCGCACCTTGGCCGATTACAACATCCAAAAGGAATCAACTCTTCACCTTGTTCTTAGATTAAGAGGAGGGATGCAAATCTTCGTCAAAACTCTCACCGGAAAAACTATCACCTTGGAAGTCGAAAGCTCTGACACCATCGACAACGTCAAAGCTAAAATCCAAGACAAGGAAGGGATCCCACCAGATCAACAGAGGTTGATCTTCGCCGGTAAACAGCTTGAAGACGGCCGCACCCTCGCCGACTACAACATCCAGAAAGAGTCCACCCTCCATCTTGTCCTCCGCCTCCGTGGTGGCATGCAGATTTTCGTCAAGACTCTCACCGGTAAAACAATCACCTTGGAAGTGGAAAGCTCTGACACCATCGATAATGTCAAAGCTAAAATCCAAGACAAAGAAGGTATTCCCCCAGATCAGCAACGACTTATCTTTGCCGGAAAACAGCTTGAAGATGGCCGGACCTTGGCTGACTACAACATCCAAAAGGAATCCACCCTCCATCTCGTCCTCCGTCTCCGTGGAGGTATGCAGATCTTCGTGAAGACCTTGACCGGAAAAACCATCACCTTGGAAGTGGAAAGCTCTGACACCATTGACAACGTCAAAGCTAAAATTCAAGACAAGGAAGGTATTCCCCCAGACCAGCAACGTCTTATCTTCGCCGGAAAACAGCTCGAGGACGGCCGGACATTGGCGGACTATAACATCCAGAAGGAGTCTACCCTCCATCTTGTCCTCCGTCTCCGTGGTGGTATGCAGATCTTTGTGAAGACCTTGACCGGAAAAACAATTACCCTGGAAGTTGAAAGCTCCGACACCATTGATAACGTGAAAGCGAAAATTCAAGATAAGGAAGGGATCCCACCAGACCAGCAGAGGCTTATCTTCGCCGGAAAACAGTTGGAGGACGGGCGGACGTTGGCGGACTACAACATCCAGAAGGAGTCGACACTTCATCTGGTTCTCCGGCTCCGTGGTGGGATGCAGATATTTGTGAAGACGTTGACTGGAAAGACGATTACATTGGAGGTTGAGAGCTCTGACACGATTGATAATGTGAAAGCGAAGATTCAGGATAAGGAAGGAATCCCACCGGATCAGCAGCGGTTGATCTTTGCAGGGAAGCAGTTGGAGGATGGTCGTACGCTTGCTGATTATAATATTCAGAAGGAGTCGACTTTGCATTTGGTTCTCCGACTTCGTGGTGGGGTTTTTTAGGGTTCTTTTGTTGGGTATGGCAGTCTTGTGATGATGATGATGTTGGTTTTCTTTTTATGTTTATGGATTGATGCTGTTGGTTGATGTATGAACAGTTCTTTGTGGTTTATGGGTTGTGTTTAGCCTTTTAGGCTCTTTGCTTCTTTGAAATCACATTTAATAAAAAATAACAAATTGGTCAAAATTATTGTGGTTATTGTTTTAGATTATTTTGTCTGTCGATAAAAGTAAATTTATCAAAATTCAAAAGTTTTCTTAAATTTTTTTGAACTAGGTTAATAGGTAGCCATTATTATCCAAAACTATGCTATGCAAGATCGAAGAATATTCGAAGTAGAAGAGCAAATTTAGTCAATAAAGGGGAAATGTGAGAAGTTTAACTGATGTGCATGAAGCCGATTTTAATGCTTAAACAGATTAAAGGTGTGTTGTATTTGTGAAAAAAAAAATGTTTTAAGGGTTCACTTTGGAGACTAGATGATGCAAGAATCCATTCTATTGTTTGAGATTTTAGTGTGTTTTGTTTGGGTTAATGGATTGTCAAAGTCGACGAGCTGAAATGCCAAAGTCATTTTTCGAGTTTCTTGAAAACCATGTCTTAAGACTCGGGCTGCAATAGCTGTTTGTTGGTCTTTGCACCGTTTGGTTTTTGTTATATGTTTGGAAAAGTTATAAAAATGATCGACAAAATAACAGTAAAATTAACAGTCACAAGGTGAAGTTACAAAAATGGTCCCATAATAATCATGATTTGTGTTTAATATAAAAATTACGTAATGAAAACTATGCCTCAAGACTCGGCTGCAATATTTATTAGTTTCCAATTGTAAAATGTAAGTTTTTTTTTGAGAAAAAATAAAAATATTTGAGAGTTTATTTGGAAGCAGTCAGATAAAGTTGAGAGTTTTTTCTAAAAAAATGAAAACAACTTGAGGTTTTTTCCGGCAAAAACAAAATTAAGTTTTAATCCGGAAAAAACACAAAATATAA